AAGCTTAGACCCTCTTTGGGAAGCAAAGACTTGCTTGTTTTGACTTTTTCAATAATAGTATATTTATTCACTCTCAGAATCAGTGGGACTTACAGTTTAACGCTGATCCGAACGGCGTAGGTTCTCTTAATCATCAGATGGACTCATTTTCGGCTCCTTAAACGCGAAAAATCGCATATATAGGCGCAGATGAAATCGAATCCAGGTCTACAGATCACGAGTCAACCGAGCGACAAGTTACTCGACGCTCCAAGGAATAATACGAATACAAAAACCTATCTGTATCTCTAACTGATATTGTCTAATCTTTAATTACAATAGTCTTTAACATACTGTGAAAAAACTAATAACTTTGTCATATTTTTTTTATTAATTCATTTTTTATTAATTCATTTTAAATTTAATTTTTGATTATTTTTTATACTTTATCTATATTTTTTATAGAGTGGGGTAGAATTGGAACTCGTAGAATGTCAACCACTACTGGAATGGCTTGCAAATAATTATAAAAGTTTTGGTGCCACTTTGGAAATTATCACGGACAAATCTCAGGAAGGATCCCAGTTTGTTAGAGGTTTTGGTGGTATAGGAGGTAAGTTTCTTTTATACATGTTTATTATTATTATTTTTAATTTTATAAGCCATATTCTAGCTCCCTATTTATCATAAAATATATAAATTTTTATATTATAATTATAAAATTATAAATATAAGGTCCTAAAAAAATAAAACACATAATGAAGAAAAACGGTTAAATAAAATAAATAGAAAAGTAAAAAAATAGAAATTTAAAATTAGGAAATGGTATCAAAGAATTTTGATACCTATATTTGAAATATTCAAATAATATGTACTCATATATGCTAGGCTTTTTTAAAATACCATCTGCGCATTTATAACTTGCTGTGAAACTTTATTTATTGTTAAGTTATAGTGTAGTTGCGTTTTATGGGTATACAATGTCTCTAAAAGCCAATAGATTAACGTTGCTAGACACCAGAAAAGTTTCTTTTGTATGGAAGATAAATTTTTTCGAACTGATATTAACTATGGAGTATATCTTGGTGTATAGGAATCCTCCGCTACAAAGTTGATTTCCAGTCACTGCAGGCCGATGAGCCTCTTGATGATGTTGACCTTGATGATTACTAATTTCATCCGTGAATTACTCAGAATCGACCAGGTAGCTTACTCTCTGTCTTGCGTGCGTTCACTTACATCTCGTGTATTTATAAAGCATATTATTTGCAAAGCTGGACAAATTTATCATTTGCTTTATTTGTTCTTAATGTTTTGCATTAAATTTCTGGTGTAATTGTAATGATTTAATTATAATCATAAGTATAAACAAATTAATAGATTAATTCTATATAAAATCTCTAAATTCTATATAAATCTCTTAATATAAATCTCAAGTTTATAATTAGCCACATTTTTTTCTTAACATATTATCTCAATTTATATAATCTCAGTTCATCTCATTCATTTTTTCTTATCTTTTCCTGAGGAATGTGAATACATTTTGTCAGTAACATCTTACACATAATAAAATTTAACTATTAAACATGTAAATATTTACATAAATGAATTTAAGGTTTTCTGAAATTAATATATTTTGTTTTATAATACATAGAAAGATAATTACAATTATTGTAAAATACTCTACTTTTGAGTAATTTATAAATACAAAGATAAATTTGTCCAAAAATTCACGATTTCTTTTATTGGGTTTCTCACTAAATAGTTTGTTTCTTCTGTGCAAATCTGTAGTACATATGCATATGTGTCTTTTAAAATAAGTTTGAATGTGGTAATAAACATTTTTAATTTACATTTCTCAAAGTATTATATTTCTTTTTTTCTACGAATAAAGTCTGAGAGTTCCCGCTGTCTTTCTTTTCTTTCTTGGTGATATACGCATATAAAGAAAAATCTTACATACATATATATTATATATATATATGAGATATGGATAACTCTGTTTATATACAGGGTGAGTTGAAATCTTCCAGTCTTCTATCTTTTCCTATCGCGGCGTTGTTAGATTCGTACATTGTTGATCTCATAATTGGAGTAGTACAATACATAGTAGATACAATACAGTGGTTGATTCATTGGAAAATAGTATTGCTTGATAGTTACATATATTGCTACAAATATATAGCCACATTCTTATTCACTTAACACATGTCATCTTCGATCTTCGTACTACGGTACTATCGTACACAATGAAAATCCGTTACGAACTAGAAAGACCATGTTCACAGGAATATATTATAAATAAATTGATTGCTAACGCTTTGAAATGTTAGCTTTTAGGCAACAATGACAAGTTTTATTATCATTACTAAGAATATAACTACTTACGTCTATGTCTCATCTAATGATATTTATTTTATTGATCAAAATTAATTTTTAAACATGTTTCACGTACACACTGTTTGATAATTCTTGATTCAATGCATTATTATTCACACATATAAATTATAAAAATTTTGCTGAATGGAAATACGCAATTTTTTTTTCAATTTATTACTAAATCTATTTTTTTTGTTCTACAATTATAGTTATACAAAATATGTTTTGTATATACAAAATATGTATGCATGATAACTTTTATGATATTTTAATTTTATTTTTTAAAAAGTAGAATTTTGTATTGCATATATTTAACATAATTTTGATTTGTCATCAATTATTATTTTGTGTACAGTATTTATACATACAGTATTTTATTGAATTTATTTTATATTATTATGCTATAGACGTCGTAGATTAGACTATATACTGATAATCTTTACTGATATTAGATCGTAGTAAGCGCATGTACATTCCTTTAATATAATTGTATATTTTAATTTCTATAATATATATTTCAAGAAAGAAAAATTTATAATTCGGATTCTGCTTCAGTTAAATGATCTCGTTTTGTATATAAAAAAAATTGATTTATTTTATCAAGAAAATAAAAATTGTAGTTTACATTTAAAAATAATTTATATTTAACACACACATGCAAAAATATTAATGTAATTATCTTAACTTTTTATTTAGATGTCTTTCGACATATACTGTGTCAGTTTCACAAATATTAAAACATTTTTATCATAAAATTTATATTGTCATACAAGAAGCAGGAAAGTAATCAACAAGATCATACATTATTACACGCTATATCTTAAAGTTTATTAGCTTTCAATATATTTCTTTTATTATACCCTTTGCCCATGCTTATAATAAAAAATAAAAAATAATGTAATATATTCCAATGCATGTTAAATAATAAGCAACATTAAGTTCATCATCACAGATAATATATATTTTATAATTTATAAGAGAGAGGTAATATCGAAAATTAGATGTTAATCTGAAAGTTATGAAAAATGCTATGAGAAGTGTTATCTCTGATAATGAACACAAGTATCGTGCAATTATGATATCTATGAGTATTTACGCTTTCACATAGCAACTGCTTAAAATAGTTAAAATATAGTTGATATTTTTCAAATGCTAATCAGTATCTTATTTTTATTAGCTTGCATATTGGGAAAGGTACAGTACATGTTCTTTATTAATTAATAACAAAGAATAAAAATCGATACATTTAATCATAATTTACATCTCAATATTATAATTGATGTACTTTTATACATATGTATTTGCATTTCTTATTTTATTAATTCTTTACAGTTATAATTTTTGTTATATAGTAACGCGCGTTTGTTATATAGTATCTCAAATATTTATATAAATATTAATTTATTTTAAATATATTAATATAAGTTTACAGATTTTATTATTTTATTGTACATGGTCGTCTCTCCTAATCACTAAAATATATAATATTAATTTGTGTTGTCTTATATCATTTCAAAATTAATGATAAAATGTTCAACTAATATCATATGTTTCTTTTGGACACTGCTTTCTTTGTACAATAGCTTTTTTTCAAAATGCTTTATTTAAGTTTTGTGTGTTCTGTTAATATAATAATTATGATGTTTTACTATATATGTATTATAAAGTACAATATATAAAAATATATTTCTCCTGTATAGGAAAGCGTTGTCCTAAAATACAAATTTTATTTAAATTTATATAATTTAGCACATACAGCCGGTCATAGAAAGGTTGCAACACTTTTTTCGATGGGTTTCGGAATGTCAGCTTACTCATCGAGCTTTGGTATTTGAACCAAAGCTTTTTATTTATGAATTCATGAATAAGAACTAATTGCTCGATAAATAAACTGCATTCCGAAATCCATCGAAAAAAAGTGTTGCAATCTTTTTGGGACCAATTGTATATAGCGTATTATCAATTAATGCTAATTGTAATTGTGCAGTTTTTATTATTATATGTATATTTGCTTATATACCATTACATATTGCTCTATTTATAATTGGTTTTTCACATAAATATTTGATAATTTTATTTTCATATAAAAATATTTTATTTTTTAGCAGAAATTTTTTAATGATTATCGCTCTCTTGCATGTATCTTTAAATGTATATCTTACAGGTATCTTGCGGTACAAAGTGGACTTTCAAAGTATGCAGCTGGACGACATCGAGACTGATGGTTTTGATTTGGACGACTACTAAGTCCATGACTCAATCGACATTTGGTTCTCTTAGCTTCGGAGAAAGCAGGGACTTGAGTATGTTCTTTCTCATGATGCCCCAAGAAAGAAGCGTAAAGAAAATATGTTTCAAAATTTACAATACAGCACGTACGATATCGTCATAAAATTATTGTCTAGAATTTACCAAACATGAAACAGATTGTAATTGATACACGAAAGAGAAGAGTACCAGCGAATATGGCGCGGCTGATATAATCCATGTCTATAAAAGAAAAGGCGATTCGAAGACTGTGACACTTAATTAAGCCAGCTTGATACCTGCCTATTCTCATACATTCACCACCTTATATTACAATTTATGGTCTTTAATTATTCACAGGGATTCCTTTAAATAAATTACGCGCTCTACAGTTCCGAATACAAATGTACAGTGTATGGTGGTTCGATTGTAATTTTATATTAAATTGATGTTTGTCATCTTATCATAAATTTTACGAGAAATGAGTGTTTGAGCTACAAGAGTGGCTATAGCGTTATTTTGTTCAGACACAATCATGAAAGAGCTGTAATAAACTGATTATTATGAACATACAATTGCGTATCGTGCATTCTACACCGATATTTGCAAAATTCATACGGAGAAGAGTTCTGTAAATAGATGTCAATTTTTAAAAACGGCACAGTTGCCTTAGACATAAGTTGAGGTCGCGTACACGATCCACGGAGTAAATGAAGTATTTCCGTCTTATGCAGTGATACACACTTGTAAACGTAAGGACAGATAATTCCTCGCAATTCTACATTGCTCCGTTGCTGGCTCTTGGCTCTTAGATTTTTGTACATTCACACAATTGTACATAAGAAACGCTTCGCAAAAGTATCGAAGTAATTTTTCATTGTTATAGTGGTGCACCTCAGTGAAGAGAAAGATATTCCCCGCAATATTTAAACAGTTACTGAAGATATATTACGAAATTTATTTTAACATTGTTAATTTAATTTGCTTATTCGTATGATGCCTCTGTAATAAATGACGCTATGTATGTATAAATGTGAAAAGAATGTAACGTGCAATTTTGGTGAAGTATCCTTTATGAAAGAATACTGTATAGAGAGCGAAGAGTTTCTCAAAGAGTCTCGAATGTTGTGAGATTTACTCGACGAAAACGATGTATCGTTATTTAATAATGTATCTACATTATTTGCGATATTGTTGTACACCTTGCAGAGACAAAAACAGGCGCACAAGAGAACTTCATCAAAGTGGAACGTACGAGAAAGATCCGATTTTGCGATATGTGCACAACGAATTCCAGAACGTGATGATTCGAAGTATTTGTATATCTGTGTATTGTCTCTCAAGATACCCAGATGTTAATTACCGGCTTAACGTTTCTTCAAATTTTTATATGTAAACATCTTCTCATTATAGGAGTCTAGATAGTTATTTATTTCTATACATCGGTGCGACTACGTTTCTGCTTAGCGGAACATCCATTTAAGTACGCAAGATAGATAAATTAAGAAATCAATAAATATCAATGCATGAAAGTGAGAGAGAAAGAGAAAGAATGAGAGAAAGAATGAAAGAAAGGAAGAGAATAGGGAAAGCCTTGTAATCTTTGTTTTAAGGTAAAGGTAAAGGTACATGGAAATATCGTCCACGCGAGTTGCTTTAATAACGGATCGATGACGTACTTAGATTATGGCTTGCCTATGATCTCTACAAGTATAGTTATATAATGTATAATCTATTAATATGTTCGTCATTGATTATTTTACTTCCACATTTTGCCAGTGAAATGTGTCTTTTAATCGAAATTGTTTCCTTAATATCTCATTAGTCATTACATTTTGTATCCGAAGGAAGGCAACACGAGAGCGTAATCGTTGAAAATTTTATCCTGGCTAATATTTTTCAGAGTACAATTTTATTGTAATGCTTCACGTTTTCGTATATGTGTATCACACGTGCTGTTCTAAAATGAAATCTGTTTTTGCTGGATTACAAGTATACATGGATCATAGCTAAGGATTGGGAAAGAAATTTTTGATGGTACTGCTGCTCATTTTGTATGAGATTTATGCTTTGTCAGGTGACAAAGAGGAAGATTGAAATAATGAGAGATACAAAAATATTCTATACATATATCCATGTGTTAATTCGAAAGAAATAGCAAAAATAAATTTTTCGAAAAATAACGTAATCTTTTTACAACACAGTATATAATTTATTGATTAATATAACTATCAATTTATAGTTCTCTCCTACATACATATATATATTTTTTTGCACATGATTCTCTTTAATGATTAATATTTTTTCAAAAAATAAATTATATGTGCATGTACAAAGTACGTGAGAGCTACGATAAATCGGTGTTATCGTAGTGTATTCAAGAGATACAATTTTTTGGGATAATAATTAGTATCTTACATGTCAATAATTGGAAGTTTGTCGAATAACATTATTTCCAATCTTCCTTTTCTCACGCATATTTTACTCTCGAAGTTTTATATAAAAGAAAGAGAGTAACGTGTCATCGTAATATAAAATGCCGACTAGAACTGGACAACCATAGGATATTAAACAGTACATGAGTGAAAAAATACAATCTATGTTTCTCATATAAACAGATGATTAGAATCCGGAATTGTTACACTGGCATAATACCTCGCGGAAAATTGTATGCATCAATTGCTCTCAATTATTGCATTTTTTGTGTTATATAATCAAGCATTTAACGTTGATTTATAATGGTTTATGTCAGCGCAATACTTCCGGATCCAATCACAGGTCTTCATATTTAGAAACTTATTGATGTCCACCTTTACTTAGACCGTTCATATCCCGTTTATAAGAAGGAAAAGAACCATAGTTTTCTCGCCACGAGAAAGGTACAAAATGGCTCTATCGAATAGGAAAACAGTATAATGGTTTACCTCAGCCTAAACGTAAATCTCAAACAACCGTAATTTAGATAAACGTAGTCGAGACGACATAGTGATTTTTATACAATTGTTGTACCTGGCTGTATCAAAACGTTTCTGCTCGCTGTGTACATTTCGGACAGAGAGAATTCAATGTATTTCATTTCGGAAATATGCAAGAGATACACTTTTAGGATTTCTTTATATTTGTACATTTCATAAAATGAAAAAAAAAAGAAGAGAAGAAAATTGATAATACTGACAATAAACAAAAGGATATCAAACGTTTTGCATTTGTAGATTCTAAGATATAAAATATAGGAGTAAGTATCAGTCACGATTAGTAAAATTTACGTCTCTTATTTTTAATTGATGATAAAAAAATACAAATATTACTTTAGATGGCAAATTCTACTAATTCTTGCATTTTTATCTTTATCACAGCAAATATTAACAATAATATTAATTAAATTAATACATACAGGCAGTATCGCACATTTCAGCAACCTATTTATTTTGTATACAAATACCTTATCTTTACACGTGCCTAAAACACGTATTACGTGTTTGCATTCCAATCATTTCATTAATTTTCTCTATAGATATTTATAATACTTATTTAAAAAATATATATATTGTGAGCAATCAAATTGACATATTAATCTTCATTCGGAACTAGAAGGTTGAGATTGGCATCTTTCACTACAGAGCCCAGGAACTTTTCTTCGGCGCCGCGAATGGATAAAGTCTCTGCGACGATAGCAGTCTTCTTCTCATCCATCATAGCCGCTCTAATCCAATTCGAGCTGCTGCACTTACCACAGCTGTGCGACGGCATACGATTCAGGCTGACAGTCCGGTTGCCACAATCAGCGCACTTGAAGAATCTCTTAACAGCGTCCATCACGCGCAACGGGTGTCGTTGCTCCTTACACATGTCCGACGCTGAGAACGCTGTGTACTTGCATAGCATACACTTCACTGCTTTGCAATTGATCTTGAAAGTATTCATCATCTTTTCCTCCATTCTCTCCTTGGCTTCTAGCTTGTTAAAGTATTTCTCCTTCTCTTCGTCATATGATTTCTCGATCAAGTCTGCGTGCGAAGATTTTGCTTCTAGCATTTCTTTGAATTTGTCGTTTATGTTCGCTTTTTTTGCATTCCGCTCTTCCTTCTCATCATTTTCCCTCTGACGCTTCGCGTTTTTCTCTAGTTTTTCTCTGATATTTGCGCGGACTTGATTAGGGTCCGCCGCTTTGATCTTTCCGTGCTCTTGCACCCACTTGATCGCATTCATCTTGGCGTTATGAATCTGTTGCTTGGTAATTGGTTCAGAGAAATCTATTGTATTTTGATTATTTCCCATTCCTAATCGTGGGCGTAAAGTAAGAGAAGCCAAACCGATCTTATCTATACGATTGCTCTGTAGATTATCTGTAGATTTACTCGGGTTGCTTTCTTTCAATTGCATTGGACTGGAACACAGAATTGACCCATTAGGCGTTGATTGTATCATTATCTGCTTTGAGGACTGCCAATTCCTTAGTTTATTCAGTCGTTCAAAATCTTTTCTCACTTGTTTGCCAGTTAGCTCAATAGCTATCCCTTTCTTTTTAGTATCCATATTGCTCGCCTTATGGTCTATATCGTTTTTTACTTTCTTAATACTATTATCTGAAGTAGTCTCGGATAATAATTCCAAACGCGCACGGTCCTTTTCATACAATTTCTCGTTGCGTTTGGCTAATACTGGTACGAACGATGATAATCCGTTGTAAGGCTTTCGCATAACGGTCTGCCTATTCATGCGTTTTATTGCGTCTCCAGTGAATCCATAACTGGTATTGCTTGACTGTATTTCTGCGCGTCGCGTACACTTCTTGTACTCCTGTTTAACATGATAGACGCAGTACTCGCATCGACTTGTATTTATAATTGTGGTACACGGATCTCCATTCTTTTTGATCGACTTGCATTTGCCCATATCCTTAGACCTGCCAAGAATCATCATCTTCTGAGGATTGTCGATCGATAGCGTCGCTTGATCGATATTATCTTTACTCTCGAGCACGTTTGGATTGAGAATACCTATCACACTGCCAACGATGGTTTTCCATAGTTGTTTATAGGCATTACTGAATAAAAAAATTGACACAGTCTTTAGGTCATCGGACAAATCACTTATTTTCCAGATACAGTAAGAGGTTCCCTTTTGCGAGGTTTTCGTGGTTGATTTGTTGATTAACACACCGGCAATTACCCAGTCATTATGTACATTATCAGAAATAATGTGGTTCTTTACTTTTGATATCGTTACAGATATTTTGTCTTTCATACGTTCTTTCATTTCAGCAGAGGATATAAGGGGACTAACTATTCTTATTCCAAAGAAGGGATCACTATAGACATCTTTTGCTGTATTATTATTATTACCTTTTATAGCATTATTGAAATCAAATGTTTTACTCTTATTATTAAAATCAACTATCTTCGCACTCTGTAATTTTACAGACTGCTCAGTCTTTAATGAAGAGTGTTCTTTTAACAAATGTTTTAACTCTCGTCCGTAATTAGAATACTTTTGCTCCTCAAAATAACGTCTGTCTTCGTCGTCAGAAGAATCAAACTTGTCATCATAAATCTCACTAACTTTCTTATCAATTGGTTTATTTTCATTACTTACGTTACTAGATGCAGAATCTAAAAAACTGAACTGCAATTCTGTTAGAGTCTTACTTGGCTTTGGTAGATCAGGCTGTTTAATTTCAGGCAGTTTAATTTCTTCAACCTGCTTAGACTGCTCAGTTTCTTTGATGTCGTTTGATATGAGATTATTCAGGATGTCTAGATCACAATCACTATCGTCATGCTCCATGTTTTAAGTTCTACAAAAAACAGATGAATTAAAAGAAATAAAGATACATTTATATTTAATTTAATTATATTTATATTTTTATTTCAGTTGTTTATATTGAAATTAAAGACATTTGTTTATATTGAAATTAAAGACAGGTGTCTAGATGTTTAGAGATGTCAAAAAATAAAGTAATGTCAAATGGAGTTAATTCACTTAATCACCAATTAACTTTTGAATTGATTATAGGTGTTTAATATTAAATCGAACAGAATAAAAATTTTTCTTTATGTATGCGCCGGATTATAAGTTGAAAAGGAATTTACCCACAAACTTTATTAACTAACGTATTTGTTATAACTAAAGTATTTAAATACTCATATATATCTATACAATAAAAAATAATCTAACCTTTCTTACGTTCTTTTCTATCGCAATTCAACAAAATTCCGTTTCATTATCACAGGTATCATTAACGCGTAAATGCCTTCGAATCACAACTTTCGAAGCTTTATTCAACAATTTCTGCATACACAGTATATGTACAATCTTGTATAATTTATACAATTATTTACACGAGTATTACACCTGGTCTCACCCGACGTTTACCCGCCAATTCTTAGTCTTAGACGACAGACGATGAGAATTCACTTGCGCAAGCGCCACTTTGTCGCTTCGATATGTCGAAAATCACAATGACGTCGATAGCCTTCGATCTTTCGATAGTTTTCGAATTGCGCTCATTTCAGGAACGCGCGGAACTGGTCATGAAATCACGGTTCTCTGATCGTTCGTATTTTCGTTATTGTGTCGTGAAACAATCATCTTAATTTCCATGGCACATAATAGAAAAACTTAAGATGTAAGATTTAAGTAGTAAGCGAATTGACCGATTACGATAGAAATCGTAAAACCATAACATAAGCAGTAGCGAATCCAATATGTTGATATCCTTACTGCTTAATTCTCTACCCATGTTCATATCATATATCATTTATTATGTTCAAAACTTTATCTTTTTGTTGACAATACAGTACAATACCAAGAGAACTTTTTAAAAACGCTTGGGTCAAAAAAGACCCGAACGGAGAATTAAGTCTTAAGTTTTTCTATGTATCATGGACTTTTAAGTGTCTCTCATAAAGTGCCGGATTCATTACGTGGCATATTGAGTGTATGAAGCAGGCATCTTGAATCGTTACTTTGGCTGGAAGTATATCGATCAACCTCTCCCAACGTGTCTCCGGCAATTTGCGCGCTCAAAGTTGTTTTCATCTCGCATCTTGCTTTGTTCTTATCAAGACAACGAAAGTGCAAACGATTATCACCAGGTATTTACATTGCATAGATAATTAATTTTATGTCGATATACATAAATCACTTCTTTGAATATTTAAACTCGATGATATAAGTAATGCAATCATTTTGCCTTCTCGCTTTTTGCACATCGATGACAATTATATATTCGCAACATGGTGTGAAGAATTTTAGATAAAATCTTTTCTATTCTTTCGAGTTTCTTGAATTGATATTGTTAGAAGCAAATGATTTTTATCACTATCTTGTGATTAATTAAAAAATTTTGGGGCAAAATTTTGTACATATTAATGATGGTTTATACTTTTATTTAATATTAATTCAAATTAAATGGATATAATTTTTTTATTAGGCATACATATTTATTAGATATGTTTATTGTCTCAATAATAATATCGCTTTGTTTTTAACAAACTTATAGGAGTTTATAATTTTATGACATATAATATGTTTGT